CGCGTCGAGTTTTCTTCGGGTAAAAGGGAGATTCTGTTCGGCGAGATTCGTTCCTACCCGCCACCCCTTTGCCGCCCCAACACGCAAACATTCCGGACCAGCGATTCGCGGAACGCATATTTTCTTCCGTTTCCTTCACGATTTTGTATCTAGAATTCTTCGAAACGATCAGGCAATTTCTACAATTAATACGCTTTGATGATTCGTATTACGATCCTCTTTCAAAGTACATTTATTTGTTAACGTGTTTACGAATATTGCAATAATAACAATCATCGATATGAAATTGCAACCCGTTGTATAATTTTTCGATCGATTGTTTGATTAATTTCGTCATGTCATCAGAATAAATTCGTATCTGTAATTGAACACGATTTTTATCGAATGAATAAATGTGACAAAAATGATTACAGTACTGTTGCACGTTATTGACACTTTTTCAGCTCGTAATTGTTCTACTGCACATTGCAACAATTTTATTTGCTAGCAATACTGATCTCTTTGAACAGAAATGATTGAGTTTTAGCTTTTGTTAGGCAATTAAATTATCGTACTCTCTCAAGAGAATATCGGGTTAACTGTTGCAGTCGGTTATTACTTTACATTTCATCGAATACAACATCAAATTTTATGAAGGTTATAAATTCCAAATAAATTGCAATATTAAATTGATAAGGATATTTGATATTACAAGCTACGTTAAGCAGTCGCTGATTCCGGAACAGCGAACGAGTTACAGGATATCGAAGTTATCCACGTGTCGAACACAGAATTAAATCGAGAAGGTGATTAGCTCGAAAGATCGAACTAGATTGAAACTACGGCGAAACTGTATTCTGCTAGCCGGTATACGGTGGCTGAACTTTGAAACATTTCCCTGAACAACGCTAACCTAACTTATCGCAAGTTTATACACGTTGCGTGTAAACACGATGCAAAGCTGCGGAGAGATCTGCGAAGTTAAGATTTAGTCGATACGCCTTTAACCTATATATTTTCGAGCTTAGCTTTCTAACAAACATCGAAACAACAGAAGTTATAATCTTTCCCTATGCGTTCCATCTTTACAATTCTAAATACTTCGGTTCCTCTCCAAAATATTTCCCATTTTGCCTCGATTTACGTTCCGCCATCTCTACGTTACAATGGAAACGCGCCGGTTATTTGATAACATCTTACTACCCTCTTTGAATTTCCTGCGTTCTCGATTTCCTTGCGATGCTTCCAGCTATCAACTTCTTGCTATTATAAATTGCACGTGAAATTGGCTACATCGATTTTCTCCGATACACTACTTACAACAATTTTCGCCACTCGGAAGATATCAAATTTCCGCTGAAAATGTTTCCGACATATTCATCTTTTACACCAAAGTTCACTTCATACAAATCTTTGTCACTGTACGAGAACTGTACTCTGAGATTTAGTAGTAATTGTTACTAGTTCAGAGGAAAACTGTAGTAGACTTTTGATTTGTAAGTGATTTGTAAGTTTGGCTGAGTTGAATCTCTAAGCTTTGATAATAGGGATAGCCGTGGCCATCACGTGACCCTCGAGCGCTCAATTCAAACATCACAATATGACTTCGGGCTTCTTTTATTTTGACAGTATTATCGTTTCTCGTGACAAGTTTACAGGTTCAAGCTTTCACAGAAATTTCAAAATATGCAAGCTGTCACAGTTTGAAACTATCAAAGGTTTCAGACCTTCAACATAGTACACATCTACAAGTGACTGTTGCAAGAGTCACCATTGTCAAGTTGCTGACCGATGCAGCTTTAAATAGACGTCGAACAAAGTGGTGAAAGGTTTTCGTATCCAGTTCTCTTCCAGGTATTTTAGCGATGAATTCGCGGCGAGCAGGGTGGAAAAGCTGACCCGAATAACAGGTTCGACAGGCGTGATGATCGATCGATCGCGAAAATTCGCGGGTTCGAAGTCCAGGGGCGGTCGGTGACCCTCTTCATCTCCGTTCGAGGCCACACTCTCGTCGCCCCTCTTCCGAACCGGTTCATCCTTTGTTCCGCAGGGTTTACACTGGAAATAGCCGCTTCACTGCTGTTGTACTTAATTAACGCGCTTCCTTTCAACGCTCGGTCGAGGGCTTAATCTGACAGCCAGCCAGAAACCGGCCGGTGCTTTCATCGCTTGATCATTTCGGCAAACACCGGCTACCCCCGGCAACGCAAACTGATTCGACAAGGAGGACGTCGTTGTCCTTCTCGATGCTTGACGCGTCCGACAGACAACAGAGCATCGTGACGCATGCAGCCGCGTCCAAAAGGTGCGCTGTGAACCAGAACCGGCACAAAGAACCATTAGTACAGCGCGATAAATGGCCGTCGCGATCAAAACAGCCACCTCTGAAGTCTTTCAGCCAACTAGTCAAACGCCTTTTCCGCTCCGTTCAACTTGATTAACACCCGATCCGCTCCCGTTGTTCAATCGAGGATTCAATTCCGACAGGGGTTTAATGATTTCGGCAAACAACGTCTGCTACGACAAACAAAGGGAGATTCTGCGTCTGTTGTCGGAGCAGTGGTTGAATAGCAATATGATGAGGGTTACCGATCAAATTGGATGGGACCGATGACAGCTGCGCTCCCAAATTTGGATTCGAGAAACAGCAAATTTGGATTGCCCTACATTTCCTAACTCTGTGTACCCTTTAATCTCACATATGCTTTACCTTACTCCTTAACGCTGGCTATTAATTCACAAAAACCTAAAAAAAATTGTAAATTTTTAACTACACTGCAGTTGCTGACAGGAAGAAGTGCTGCTCGAAGAGAACTATCTTCGAGTGTGAAGGGTTAATTAATACCTCAGACATCTAAGATCAAGATTAGCGAATAAAAGTCAGTAAATATTTATGTCTCCAAAAAACTCCACAAGCCTCGATAACCTGACAAGCAATCGTAGATCACTTAACAATAATTTTACAATAACTGGTTCCTCAAATGTACCTCCTCCAAAAGTCCTCACCGAACTATAATGAATTCCACACTGAAGAATGGAGAAAGCATCGAATTGCAGAAACGGTCAACGAAATTGTCAATGCTTCATGAATAATTAAACGAAAGCTTTAAAACAGTAAGACGCTGATAGAGTATCGAACGAGTCACGACATCGCTTTCAACTTAATGTCACGGCAAGTTACCATCGTACGTGCATATCCGACTTCTTTATTCACGAACACTGCACATGACACCGGCAGACGCTTATGGTTGCACACGCGATCGACACATGCAAGCACGCGTGCACGCAGCTGATGTAACAGGATTCGCTGCGTGACCAGCAAACGGACTCGGCCATGTAATGTGTAATCCACCCCTTTGGATAATCAATATCACGAATGGTAATTCTTACTCGAAAGCTTGTGTCTAACGCTAATGACAGCAGAAATTTCTGTTCGCGGAATGCAACGTTGCAACAACGTGTTTCTACGTGAGTCTCAACATCGGAAAACCCATTATGCCAACCCCAATTTCTCTTCCTTTTGCCTGGTTTTTTTCACTTATCGGAAAATCTTTAACTTTGTGAAATGCAAATTTCAACCCTCTTACAATAGGGAAATTATTGCTATTCTTTTTAGTTTGTATAATAGTCGGCTGACGTGCTATCGCGATAACGTTTTAGGCTGTTTGAAAGTTAATGAATGATACGTTGCTTTTTTGCGACATCATGTAGTTTTTTAGATGGAGATAATTGAGGGTTGCAACATTTAGAATTTCTGTTTTTGGGGATTATGAAAACTAGCAATTTTTTAGGTCTTGAAGGAAATATTAGAATAAGTAATTTTGTGAATTTATAAATTTCTAATATTCGTTCGTAGTAATAACCTTCCTCGTATCGTTTCCCTGTAACATAGAATGCGCTTGATTGAACATCACCGATCACCCTTTCTCATCTCCCTCTTTAAACCCGCACCGTCTGAAATAGCAGATAACCGACAACAGTGACAATGTCAGTATTAAACGCTTATCCGACGCATATTCCGTAAGCAAACATTATAGCCGATGTCAAAGTTCATTGTTCTTGTGTATCGTGCGAGAAGTACACGACACTTGCCATCGCACCTCTCAATCGGCTTAAGTTTGCACGCGCGTGAAAATTGCGAATAACCTGCTGAAATTATAGTTCGTTAACAATTTAAACATTCGTCAAAAAATAATTTTTAGCCTAATCCGTTTATCGTGGTTTTTACTTTACGCCTCCCGTAATTGAACCTTCAGGTTTTAGATCCCTTCCTGCTAACCCCACTTGTGTTCGTTAATGGGTCGTTAACCCTTTGAGGACGGAACACTTCTAAATTCAACATTGCGTGCTCACGAAATACTTCTTTTATTCGACACGTCGCGAAAAGGCGCTGACAGTTTCGCCGAGTAGCAACTTTATTTTTGATTAATTTAGTGTCCCTTTTTTTGACTGGATGGGGGAAAATTAGGCACATAGGGGAGAACATAGAGTTTTGATATTCTATCTCAGAACCAGACTACATAAGTTCATCTTCTATCGTTTTTTCTGCGTAGTTAATTTTGATGCATGTATAAAACAAGAATTGCTTTCATGTCCTTCTTTAAAAAATAATAAGAATGAACGAGAGTTACGTCATTTATTAGGTACAGTATTATTCTTGTATCTTAGTGAAGTATTTAACAGATAAAATAAGTTGCAATTGAGCTATGATTTTGTAGTTTGTAATTTTTCATAAAGTGTATAATTTTTGTATATAATAAAAATAACGAGTAAGTTTGATTCTTTCCAACTGGTCAGTCTATTTGTCACCAATGAATATAGTCTTTATGCAAACATAAATTATTGTATACAATCTACATATGCATCTTCTATCTCGACGTTATAAGTACTTCTAGTATAATTCAGCATGCACCTTCATCAACATCCAAAATGTTTAACTTTAAATGTTTAATCACAGATTGAGAAGTGACTATCTTACAAGTAGAACGACAGCACAGGTTTCTAGGTTGAGATTTACTTACCGCTTCAGTATGCACAGGATGAGCAGCAAACAGCAAGCCTGCCAGAGCAGCAAATCCTGGACGAAGCGATGCCACCACTAGGCTCACCCTTGTGACCAAAACGCATGCAATAGCGTGCAGGGCAATATTCGTCGCGTGGTACCAGCTTGGCGTTAATCCTGACATCAGGTAGTTCAACCTGAAAATACAAGATGAAACTGAATTGAAATTTGTTCTGGAATATCCGTGCAATATGCACGGTATAACGCAGCGTTGAATATTAATATCGCAAAAAGTATTTAATATTAAACCGGTCGCAATTACATAAGCTGCGATCATTTCGTATAAATTTATAGTAATTTAAGTGGGTCATTCTACACGTACAGTGTTCTATTTATGTGCGAAAGGAGAAAATACTGTGTATTTTTAACGTTGACTTTAAAAATTTAAACGGTATTGGAGACAATTAATTGATCTATTTCAGAAGTAATTATCGGACTGTCACATGGAGGGTTTAAATGAAATAGAAAGATTTAAGTTATTATGTCACTTACTTATTCTAACTTTAGAAGTTTTTAGCGCAGCTGTGAATTTTTAACTTAATATGCGATTTCTGGGAGAGCAGGAATAATCTATGCTATTTCAAACTTTCAGAACAAGCTTGTTAGTTTTAAAGTAGAATAAGTTTGTGTTCTCATTTGTTCAACTTTATTTGTTTAAATGTATTCATCAAATTCCAAATCAAATTTTTACAATTTTAAATACCTTAAATTTCTTGTCAGATCTATAACATATTTTCATATTTCAAAATGTTCAAGTTGCTAAATTTCAAAACTTCCAAACCTAGTTCTTGCATTCCGTATTCCCGTAACTCCACATTAACAAATTCCCAAATCTCCAAATCCCCACGTAACGAAATTTGCAACATCGTTGCGAGCCAACAAATTCCGAAATTTCCAAATTCCCACGCCAAGATAATTCCAAACACCGTCTTTGTTTAAACGCGAACCTGAATCCGCAGAGAGCTCTCCGTCCATTACTTCTTTTCATCGCGCCTTCAAACCGCAATCGAAAAACAATGGTCGCCATCGTCTTCCCGTTTGTAAGTACAACGGATACGACGCCAGAGTTTCCACGAAAATCCGCTTAAGTCGTCCAAGATAATCGGATCTCCGTTCCACGCGCTCATTCTTTCTATTCACCGCAACTTATACAATTTCTTCCATATCCTTTTTTTCCGTCGCTCAAAGAGCACGCCGAAGAGAAGCGACATCACGTGTTTCATCGTTTAATGAAAGCAGCTTCCCGTGAAACTTCGCACCCGGCTATCGATCATCGAATGCTTTATTCCCTCCGACAGACACGCTCGTCGATATTGCCTGAACATCAATTCCAGTTATGGAGGAAACGCGAGGAAAGATGAGGAGGCGCGAAGACGATGAAAAGAGGTCACGACAAAGGCGGGCGAGGAAAAAGGAAACGGCAGAAAAATAGGTGAGACAAGGGAGCCGCCATCAGGAGGAAAACAAACACCGTAGATGCTGACGCGGCCCGGTAATAATTTTGAAAGTCTGCCGACGGCATAAGTTCGACGCCCCTAGCGGACCTGGGGCTTGGCCGAGTTCCAGGTGTCAAGGATCTTGCCCGACCGGAGGCGTATCCTATCGTCTCCTTGGCCCTGGATCAACCAAAGAACTCGGACGCGTCAGTTGCAAGTTTGCACGCAGATTTTACCACCTCGATAAATGATCGCGACCTCGTGTTTTGTACTGTACGGTTATGCACCTAAGTTATTTCAACAAAGTTTACAACAGCTGCATTTGGGGTGCTACACTAATGGGAGGTTCCTGATAAATTAACGTATACTGGTCTTTACAATGAGGTTGTTCTTTAGATCTGGGCTTCAATTCCAGGTACATGTAACATGTTCTGTATCTCAGAAATTAATTGTACAATTAACTTGAAAATTTATGTGGATTCATGTGTTGATGTGGACTATCATTTTACATAAGAAGTTTTAAAAGCAAGGTTCACTATATGACAGAGTACGAGACACGATGTGACTAGGCACAAGGTATATGATGTGACAAGGTATACGATGTGACAAGATACATGCATTTTTGGGACTTTCCTCAACAACAGCAATTAACTGAACATTCACTGATACATTTTGATAGAGATCATTTTACATAAGAAGTTCTAAAAGCAAGGTTCACTATGTGGCAGAGTATGAGACACGATGTGACTAGGTACAAGGAATATGATGTGACAAGGTATACGATGTGACAAGATGCATGAAATTTTAGGACTTTCCTCAACAGCAAAAATTATCTGAACATTTACTGGTACATTTTGATAGGGATCATTTGACATAAGAAGTTGCAAAAACAAGGTTCATTATGTAACGGAGTATGAGACACGATGTGACAAGATACAAGATGACAAGGTATAAAGTATATGATGTGTCAAGATACAAGGTATATGATGCAACAACGTACATGAATTTTCGAGTCCTCAATAAGAACGATGAATCCGTACATTTCAATAGAAAGTGTCTCTCGAAGTATCACATCTTCGCATTGATCTACAGCAGCATTTTAAAAATAGATAGTCAATAAGTTTCTCACCCCTAAGGTAACTTGTCAGTTTCACAGAATTGTAACTCGAAGTTGCAACAGTAATTTTGCAAGTGACGGTAATTCATGGATATTGTATTTATCATATGAATAGAGAAGTACGTCTGAACTCGTAACTAATGCTGTTACTTCTAACACGAAGTACATAGAAGGGATCAGGAAAATCTCTTTGAACATAAAATATCATTTCATGAATAAATCCGTTTCGGAGCCGGCTCATTCTTGAGGATACAACGATAACCAGTCGTATATTCACAAACGGATGCTCTCAGTTCCAGTGTACGTATGTATTTAGCAAACGGAGGCCGTCTCGAAACATCTCCGAGACGCAATCTCGTTTCACGAGGCACCGGTCTATGCTGGAACTCGTGCTCTAAACGGTATGAGGGTTGCATATTTAGCATCCTGCTTGCACTTATAGGACTTCCTGCACGATGCACGAGCCTCCGGTTTTATTGTTAATGGTTAGTTAACTATTTATACCAGCTTCTGTGTTCTCTTCCACTCGGGCTGATTGTTTGCAATAACAGTTTCGATAAAGTTGTCTGCGAAAGAGGCTTCCTTTAATAGAATCAAATTTGCAGGGTCTAATATAATTTCAAATATTAGATAATTAAAAAGTGCCAGGCCCTTAAATTCATATAAAGCTGAAATTCTCAGATAATATAATTAGAAAACTAATATAATTTCTAACAACTTTGACATAGCACATAGCAAGCTTTAATGAACAGAAACTCTAACAACCATCAGGAAAATGTAAATTCCGAAATAACTTTTAAACTCACATCAAAATTTTACAATCTTTCAAAGCGAAAGAAGTTGGTAGCTCAAAAATCTCCACCATTAAAACTTCATTTCTAATTAAAACGTAATATCACGTTTCAACGTAACCTCAGCATTACAATCTCCCAGAAGCAATTTCTATGTCCAAGCATAGTACACGAGCTGAATTCAAGTATCCGAGCGAATGTAACAGAGCACAAATTGCTGTAACATTGCCTGATTAGCAGTATATTACATCAGTGTGGTGTACGTGAATCGTAATTCTGTTCAGGGCGCGATATTCGTTCGATGTTCAATTCCCCGCTGAATGGCCATGGAATCATGCTCGAGGTGACACGCGTAATCGTGTCCCAGGTGCATGATCGTGTAAAACAAAACGGGCTGTTACGTAATTTGACGTATTCGTGTTAATGTTCCACCACTAATGGTCGATCTCGTACAGTCGATACTGATCAGCAATGCTATGATCGATATTCGGTGAATTCGGAAATAGCTGGCGGACATTCGTTCGATGTTCATTAGAAAAATATTTAATGCACCGGTGGATCTAATAATTGTCGAAGAAATTATGGACACTGGTGTATCGTGAATGTTGGTGTTTGGTGGGAGATTTGTGCAAATTTCTGTTTTAGAAATTTGCAGGTTTGGGGATTTGGGGATTTGTGATGTAAATTTATGGATGTAGGAATGTGGGAATAAAATTTAGAAATGTAGGAATTTGGAGGTGTGGAGATATGGGGGTGTAGGGATTCGAGAATGTGGGGATTTGGGGATGTAGAAATTTGAGGGTGTAGGGATTTGGGAATGTAGAGATTTGGGGGTGTAGAAATTTGGGAATGTGGAGATTTGGGTGTGTGAAAATTTGGGGGTGTAGAAATTTGGAGGTGTAGGGATTTGGGGGTGTAGGGTTTTGGGAATGTAGAGATTTGGGGGTGTAGAAATTTGGAAATGTGGAGATTTGGGCGTGTAGAAATTTGGGGGTGTAGGGATTTGGCAATTTTGGGATTTGGGGGTATAGGGATTTGGGAATGTAGAAATTTGGAGGTGTAGGGATTTGGGAATTTTGGGATTTGGGTGTGTAGGGATTTGGGTATGTAGAGATTTGGGGGTGTAGAAATTTGGGAATGTAGAGATTTGGGGGTGTAGAAATTTGGGAATGTGGAGATTTGGGTGTGTGAAAATTTGGGGGTGTAGAAATTTGGAGGTGTAGGGATTTGGGAATTTTGGGATTTGGGTGTGTAGGGATTTGGGTATGTAGAGATTTGGGGGTGTAGAAATTTGGGAATGTGGAGATTTGAGTGTATGAAAATTTGGGGGTGTAGAAATTTGGAGGTGTAGGGATTTGGGAATTTTGGGATTTGGGGGTGTAGGGATTTGGGAATGTAGAGATTTGGGGGTGTAGAAATTTGGAAATGTGGAGGTTTGGGCGTGTCGAAATTTGGGGGTGTAGGAATTTGGCAATTTTGGGATTTGGGGGTGTAGGGATTTGTGAATGTAGAGATTTGGGGGTGTAGAAATTTGGAAATGTGGAGATTTGGGCGTGTCGAAATTTGGGGGTGTAGGAATTTGGCAATTTTGGGATTTGGGGGTGTAGGGATTTGTGAATGTAGAGATTTGGGGGTGTAGAAATTTGGAAATGTGGAGATTTGGGCGTGTAGAAATTTGGGGGTGTAGGAGTTTGGCAATTTTGACATTTGGGGGTGTAGGGATTTGGCAATTTAGGAATTTGGGAATGTAGAAATTTGAAGATGTAAAAATTACAGAACTTTCAAACATGAAG